ATATATATATATATATATATATATATGTAAAACTGGTAATGGAAATAAACATAATGAACTTATTAGATAACATAAAATATTAAAAAAAAATCCAGTGATGAATTGATAAAACAGCTTAACCATTTTGATGGTATCTGCAAACAAAATTACAATGTAGTTGTAGCCAAGAATATTTGATCTTATTACATATGTACTTTTAGTACAATGTAATTAGCTTGTGGTAATTAGTTTGAATGTCTCCCTATTTTGTTGCATATACTTTGTTTAAGGCAATCTATTCCAAAGGCTGACCACCATGTGAAAAAAACTAAGATTGCCCAATTTTTAGATGATTTATCCTTGCCAAATCTTAAATCTATGCCCTTCAATCCTTTCACTATTATCATTAAACTAAAAAAATAAAGATGATGCATCAATCCTATCTATTCCTTTTACAATTTTGAACACTTGAGTCAATCCAATTTAGCCCTTCTTTTCTGAAGATAAAGTAATTTTATGGACCCTGACCTCATATAATAACTTATTCTTCCCAGGAATAGTCTTAGCAGCTCTCTGGATCCTTTCCAACAACTTGGTGGATCCCAAGAATAGACTCAGTACTCTAAATGAACCCTAACCAGAGGTCTTTGCAAAGAAACAAAAACCTCCTTTGACTTGTATTAAATATTCCTATAGATATAACCCAAAATTATATTTGCTTTCTCATTGGCACTAACACATTGCTTGGAAGGCTTAATATACTGATTGATCAAAACACCAAAATCTTTTTCTTCCTTAACACTAATTAGGTGATTTCCATCAAAGTGATAATTGTAGCTTTTAAGGTAACCCAAATGTATTACCTTGTATTTAGCATAAATGAAATGCATTTGCAATTTATTTGCCCAATTCATCAAATGATGCAAATCCCTTGTAAAACAACAGCATCATCCTCACAGCCAACTACACCCAAAACTTTTAATATTGGCAGTAAACTTTTCTACCATTCCCTTTCTTTACTATGCATCAGATGTCTCTATTCTCACTATTTCAATAGAAAAGACTTGTCATATGGGAAGAAAGAGAGTGAAATCATTAAATTCTGTCCCTTTATAATCTTAAGATTTTGAGTCTAAATTTATACCCATTGTTATAATGATATACATTATAATTTATATTCATTAATATAAAATATACTCATTGTTAACATGGATAACATATGTAAAGGTAAGTGGCACCAGCATCAATTTCATGTATTATGAGTAAATCAATTATATGTATATATTATATTAAATGCAATATATTCATAAAGAAACTAATATTGGAAATTTAATTACAAACTATTCACATTTATTATTAATTGGTTAATCATCAAATTAAGTCGATCACATTTAACTAATTGATTACTCTCGCCTGAGACTAATCTCCCTATTTTTAGCTTGTTTGGTTATTTTTTGTTTATTTTGTATGAGAGACATTATTAGTTACAACAGTTTAAGACTAAGGTACGTTTCTGATCCTGAATTGTTGTATTTGAAAATGTATCGTATATGCAACATAGTAAAAATCCTGTGACAAGCTGATGATATGATTAATACTATTTTGTGGGTTTCTCTACAGATTTTCACAAGGCTACTTAACTAAATACCAAATAACTTAATTCTTTGTTAAAAATAATTGTTATTAGATTTCATATGATTAAACTAATAAAATATTTTTATCACAGTGTGTGATAAATATGCCACTCATTGAAAACAAAATCACCCCAATCTTAGTATATTTATTATTTAGCAAGAAAACTTAAGATGATACTTGATCACTTCTTTGAAGAGGTTAAAATGATTAAAAAATGGAAATTTTAATAGCAATATTAAAATCATGGTAGTACTACAAAAATCTGTAATTACTAACATTTCTAACTATTTTTTAATTCCATCATCAGTGTGAAAAACCTAAGAATGATTAACAGGTTTATAAGTATAAAAAACACCATAAGCTATTAAGAGAGAAGAGTTGATGATACAGATGCAAGTTTAGAAAGCACACATTAAAATTATTGATATGTTTATATTTTACAGTACATGCTGGAAGAAACTGTAGGAACATGTGTGCTGAAAAACCAGTAAATAAACAACTTATAAGTTACTGTACTAGGTAGACAGTGTTTAAGAGATGAGATAACAGTCAAATTTTTGTTTTACTTTTTCAGTGCTTCCTATCTAGTGAGAGATAGTCATAATTAAACAGGAGTTCTATTTGTGTAACTAGGTTAACAACTTTATATATATATATATATATATTATTAGACTGTTATTATTCAAAGTATAGTAATTTCTGATGAACACATTTGAATAAGAAAGCTATTCAGCAATAAAAAATTGTTTTTAGAGAATAATGAATATTAACTTGCTG